GTATGCGACGTACGCTGCGAAATTTTCCATACGTCTTTTGTTAAACTAGGTATTATAATTTTGTTTTTATTACTCGAAATATATTCATCGTAAGTATGTAAATAAATATTAGCTTTTTGTTTTAAAATAAATAATTAACGCTCAACAATCAATAAAATGACTCAATGGTTAAAGGAATATTGTTTTCTTTCTAGAGATTTTGAGTTCGAACAATTATGTTTGTAAGATCTGTGTGCGTTGTAAATTGTTAAAAAAATATTCCAAAGAAATACTACTTTGTAACCATCCCGGATGGAATGAGGGGGGTTAGGAGCGAGTCATATAGTCGTCCCACCTAAAAATTCAAATTTATTTAATTTGGATGTTTCTTTTGTATTTTCTATAAATAATTTGTTGATAATTTGTTTTCGCTTCCTAAAATTTTATAAATTCACTATTCCTAACACAAAATTTTATGTTCGCCCTTGATTATAATTACTCAAACATAGAATCTCTAAAAAGAATGGCATTTCATTTATTATTTAGGCTACTCAATAAATTTAATTTGATATTTCATTTATTATTTATGCTACTCAGTGAGTTTAATTTGATATTCAAACTTTTCTTAAGTGATCTAAGTCCTTAAGTTGTAGCCTCATGATTTTTATGGGTCTAATTGTTATTAGGGTTAAAATAGCACTTTTAAGAATTAAATTAATGATTTTGAATAAAAATAATTTAAAATAATCAATTAAATTAATTGCACGAATAACCCTTACAGATTTTCAAATCTCTCAATTTCCCATTCCTATTATAATTCTTACCCACATAATTATACAAGTATCCCTATATATGTATGATATGTACATTATCAATAAATTAATAAAATTATGAACAATCACTCTAAACTATTCAAAAATAATAAAATTCTCACCATTCTCTCTAAATATCCACATAGTTTTTGAGAAAACAGGTTCTCTTATATTCCAAAATTTCCCTTGATCACCTGATTTTTCATGCTGTAATTTATAAATCTGATTCTATTTTTTTTATTGTTTTTTAATTCATTGACTTAGTAGCGGATGAAAAACATATTCAGGGTGAGCTCGTCTCCACCATAAATTTTGAATTTATGTGTATTAGTTGTTCATTTTATTAAGGGTAATCACTATAAAATTTTAATTATGTCCATCCTATACGAAAAATTTCAATAATTAATATATGTGTCCACCCTAAAAACATATTTATAGATCCACCGCTGCGTTGCCCGTCAAATAAAATTTTCTTAAAAAGTCATCTAATTAGCGAAAGTATTTTTTAAAATAATAATAATTTAATGTAAATAATTATAAATTAAATATTTAATTAAAAATATAGTGTAAGTACGTATTATTTAAATAAGCTAATAAATAAATAAAATTAACCTTTTTATATGAAAACAAAGAAAAAAAATACAAAAAACCCCATCTCCTGACAATCACATGAAATGCTTAGCTTTGGCTTTATTTTCAAAATTCAAAGCAAACGAATCTAAGCACCTGTACAGTTGTATTTGTTGTTGCTTGTAAGTAACTGCCCTGCCCTGCAATACTTTAGAAATTATAAAAATTAAAAACCTAAATTGGAAAAGAAAAAAGAAACTTCAATTAGCTTAAATTACTCATAGATGAAAGATAAATTAGTGCTTCCGTTATAAAAGTTTGGGCCATTTAGCTAAGAGCAGCGAACAGGGGAATGAAGAACATATAAAATTGTTGGTACAATACATAGATGTATGATTTTATGTTAAAATAATAAAATTAAAAAAAAATAAAAATATATTATTAATAAAAAGTATATAAATATGTATTTAAATTATATAAAAAATTTAAAATTTTTAATCTCGTCCATCTTCGACTTTCATCGTGATTGATCAATGGCAAACACTACAGTAATTCTTCCTCATTTTAGGCTAATTAAAGTGTTCAACTACGTTGTTCAACAAAATATATGATTTTCAACTATTTCATAAATCTAATCCCAACAAAATTTGATTTCACATAAATTATTGTCACCAATCAAATAGTTTTTGTTAGTGTTTGGTATTTAATTAATGTATCTTTTAACAAATTTTACTTGTAACCATAATCTTACCTTTTTATTTTTGTGACTTGTCCTTCAACTTCCATGTTATTAAAATTTTATTTTCTTAAATGCTTATAATCCAAATATATTAAATATAACTATATCCTCCTAGTCAAGGTTGCCCAAAGCCTCACATTGCGCAAAAGAATTGATCTTTTCCGCCGAAAATAAAGGTAGAATTCACCGATAGATCACGCGGGTAAAAAAATTAGTTCATTAAATTATTTTTAAAATTAATTTGAGATCTATGACAAATGTTATAGTATAGGGTAAATTCGTCAACTCCACATTACGAGTTTGCTTAAATAATACTTTTTATTCAAACTTATCGCATTGAAGTGACGATTTTTTATAAAATATATTTTATTAAATTTTACTACATGAAATGATAAATTTCAATAAAATATATATTTTTTATTAGAACTCATAATATTTATGTGACGAGTTCTAAATTATTGTAACAAATACTCCATTTCCCAAAATAAAAGTGGATTTCTTTTTAGGATAATGGAAAAGGTTAGTCTTCGTTTCTTTTAATCAAGTACTTGTTTTTAAGCTCGGTTTCGGTTAGTCTTCGTTTCTTTTAGTTATTTGTTTTTTTTTTCCATTACTAGGAAATTTTTATTTTTATTTTGACGCGTACATAAGTCATCACAATATCTTGAGCCACCTTCGATATACCATGTTACTAACTGAACGTAAAATAAGATCAAATATACGCTTTTAATAATTGAAATTTGGATAAATCATTTATTTAGTACTCCAATAATCACTTTTAATAATTAAGTCGTAAATGACATTATGTTTTGGTCACTCACCGTTAAAAAATTAATGGTAATACATGCCATTGAAAAAAATTAAGGTTAAACTATACCATTGACCACTCAACTATTTAACACTTTTACTTTTACCATTGATATTTCAATTTTGTCAATCAAACAACTTAAATATTTAATTGTTGTCAATCAAACCATCTGTTGTTAACAGTTGACAAAAGTGTTGATGTGACAGTTAACAAAATTAGTGTAATTCTACATTTAATCCTCAATAGTTATATATTATATCAATTTGATTATAACTTTAACCACATCATTCAGGTCGTAAAATACACAATAATATATATTATACCATACTTAATGCTAAAAAGAAAAAAGAAAGGAAAAAGAAAATGAAGTGATTCGAACATGAGCTAAAAATCTTAAGAGTATTAAACCATTAAAGTAGATCCTAAATTTTGTTAATTGTTGGATAGATCTGTATATCTTTTAAATATTAGTTGATACAATATTAAAAAATGAATTTAAGATTTATATATCTTTAATCTAAATTTAATATTCTTTTCATAATTATAATTTAATGATTATATAAATAAATTTCAAACTCAATACTTTTAATTTTATTAATAATTTTATTTTTATTAAAATTAAAATGCACAAAAAATATAAATGTTTCATATATTTAAATATATAAATATATTTTAAATACTAATTTATATAAAATAAAATGTAATTCATACATTTAATTATAAATTGAATCATTTATAACTTTTTTATATATTTTATTTTTAATAAAAATAAAATTATTAATTAAATTAAAAATATTCAATTTAAAATTATATATATATAATCACTAAATTATAAATGCTACAAAAACATTAAATTTAACTTATAAAATTTATAAATCTTAAATTTCAGTTTTTTTAATCTTGTTTTAACTAATTTATAAAATATATATAATTGATATTCAAATTTAAGATTTACTTCCACGTTTTAATATGTCAATGTTTATCAATATATATATGTTATCGTGTATTTTATAATACAATTGAAGAAGTTAGTTTAGTGGCAAAAGCATGTGGTTTCATTTATGTGTACCTAGGTTTGATTCCATTAGCTCTTGTATTCATTGCTTGGATTTTCTACTTGTTTTTTCATCCAACCAGATGGTACCATTCAGTGGTAGAAAAATAATTAAATTAGATATATTTAAATTATAAAAGTCTTTAATAAGATGCTGACACATGTCACAATTTAATTAAATGATTAAATTTATTAAATTAAATTAAAATTAGGACCAATTTGATAAAATATATAAGTATTGGAGACTAAATATATAATTATACCAATTTTATTAATTTTCACCTCAACACTTCTGTTAAATATTAACAACATACGGCTTAATTGAATATAATTAAATAGTTAAGTGGACTTCTGTTAAATATTAACGGCATGTGGTTTAATTGAATATAATTAAATAGTTAAGGGCCTAATTGAAAAAAAATGAAAGATCGATGGTAAAAATAAAAGGGTTAAATAGTTGAGTGATCAATGATATAATTTATCTAAAATTTAAAAATATAACATCATCAATTTTGTTAATATTTTAACAGTAGTTTACCAAAATCAAAACATAATATTATGTATAATTTTAAAAAAATAATAGTTAAATGATAAAAACCGATAATTAAAGTATTATATATATTTGTAATTAGAGTACTGATAAGTGATTAATATAGAGAAATTCTATGTGAAACAAACGATCACCGCCTTGTGGAACTCATTTATGAAGAGCATATCACTAGATCACTAGAATGATACTGTCTTTTTTATTATTATTATTGTTTATCAAAATTTCTTTTTTATAATATCATATTTTTAATTATTTTAAAAGAATTTTGATTGAAATTATTTTAGATATTTGATAAGGATGTTTTGGATGAATATTTTGAAGCATGACACGGTAATTTTATTCTATTAATATAAAATTTATCTTAAATTTCTAAATAAATTTTTTTAAAATCGATATTTTTATAATTTCTTTTAAGGAATTTTCTCTAAATACACCTAAATATCTACTATGAAGTAACTTTTTTGAAGGAAAAAACAGAGACAGAAAAGTAAATCTGTGAGTGACGGATATATTTCACTTTGTTTCATGTCTAAGGGGGGAAAAAGCATATAAATATGTGTGGAAACTTTAATGTATTTAGGTACAGTTGGGTTTTGTTGGTTGAAAAATTCCATGAAAGCCATGATCAAGAAAAGCTGAAATGATGTGTTCTCTTAAGAAAATTCCTGCATATCTTTTCCCAGCTCTTTCTATCAGATTCAGCCGTCTCCAATCCTAATTTGGCTTTCTCAGCAAACTCTCTCTGCCCAAATGAGGAGGATTTGTTGAATTTCTCTTGATTTGATAAAGTTGATATATTTTGTCGACGAAATTGTTTGAATTAATGCCATAATTAGATTACCTGAATAGAATTGTTGTTGAGAAGTCGATCGATGAGGTCGAAGAGGATGTCTTTAGTGTACTCAGGGTGGCCTTGAATGCCAAGAATGTGTTGTCCAATTCCGAACATATCGATCGCTGTCTTGTCCGAAGATGCAATCACATCAGCTCCCATCGGGACCTTAAACACTTCATCTTGGTGACATTCTATGATCCACAGTGAAGATGGTATTTCATCAAACTCCTCCATGAAGCTTGGGACCGACAAATCTTTCACAATTTTCACTTTCCTCAACCCAATATCCCATCCACTGCAAGCCTTCCCAACTTTTCCCCCCAATGACCTGCATAGAATCTGTTGGAAAATATGCAATCAATGAGCATTTTAATGGAAAATATAAAGAGAGTTTGGTTTACCTGATGGCCGAAGCAGATGCCGAGGACTTTCTTCTCCATGGCATCAAGTGTCTGCAACAGGAAGCAAAGCTTGAGAATCCATTGATCATTACCGTAAGTATCATGGGGACTGCCACTGATTACGAACCCATCGTATTTGTACAGCTCGCTCATGTCGGGGAACTCTCCGTCAACAACCCTGAACAAGTCCCACCTCTCTCCTTCTCCGCCGAAAGCAGCGACGAACACCTCCAAATAACTACCGTACACCTTCTTCACATACTCCGAGTCCCAGGCGGCCAGCAGAAGAGCATGTCTTCGTTCTCCGGTTCTGATTAGCTTCATTGTTTTAGCATCCTATTAAATGGAAAATCCTGAAAAAAGAACTTGAAGATTTGAGGGGGAGAAAACTGGGGTTTATATAGAGGCTTTAAGTGAGGGCTTGGAAATTCCGATGGCGGGGTATGGTTTATGGATTAGTGGAAATTAATGAACATTAGCGGCACGGATTTTGACAGATTCTTTTGGATATTTTTGGTTGCCCTTTTGATACTTTAAAATTTTATTTCGATTTTATACATATAATTTTAAACTTGAAATATACTTAAATAATATTAAATTACTTATTACTTTAACTAACTAGTTAACTAGAATCTTATGGGATTTGGGGACTGGTTTGAGCGCACGAGATTCACTGTGTGCGTCAAACATGGGCGCGCCGTATCACATTCTCGAAGTTGTCCAATAGGTTCATATTCCTCGTCGCACTTGAGAATTGAGAGATAGGTACAGCAGCATCTTGCATGCTATTGGCTGATTTATTCAGATTTGAGTAGAGATGGGTATTTCATCTAGGCTGGACAAATTTTAATTCAATCAAATTCGATTGGGTCAATTTTTCATTTTTAAAAATTCAAGTTTGATTTATATTGGATTGAGTCAGATTTAATTTTAAGTTTAGAGCAAAGAAATTTGATCTAATTCAAGCGGACATAATATTATATTTATCTCTTTTGTATTTAAAGATATTTTTCTATTTTATTATTTTTTAATTAAGTTCTTATTTTACCTAATAAAAATAAATTATATATTTATTTATTTATTTAGGTAGATCGGGTGTAGGTTTTGACCTAAAAAATAGAGTAAGATGAGAACCTCCTAAATTCCAGGTTAGGTACGAGCGGAGGGATTTAATTTTTGGGCATAGCTCAAACTAATTAAAAATTCGATCCAATACGACGCGATCTTATTAGACTCATGATCTGTAACACCCTAAACCCGATTAGACTTAAAGTGCCACATTAGGTTGTCGAGACAACTCTTGATTTTCAAAATTGTTCATTCACATTTCAAAACTTAATACATGGTATCAAAATAACATACTCGACAGATATAACATATGTTATAAATCGGAGCTCTATGACACATAATTTAAAACCAAAATAATAAAACTCTAAGTTATAAATATGAATACAATAATAAGGGTCCTATGAATACATATGCCCACTAAAGCTACAATACAATACTCTGAAATAGATGCTGAAAGTCCTGCTACGACGGCGCTCTAAAATCGGCTCTAGCTACTGACTTGCGAACAAAAAACTTTCAAAAGTTGAGCTTACAAAGCCAGTAGTATAATCACTAATCTAGAGCAACATTATGAGTTTCATAAACATAAGCATGCTAAAGACATGGTACTAAGCAGTAAGTACATGCATAATCTTAATCAAGTACTACCTACTTAAGGTTCAACCGTTCTATCACTAAAGTAAGAGTCTTACGCTTCTCTCAATCCTCTGCTAAGGGCCTCGTCATGAGTACACTTCTAAAGGGTCTCTAACCCTAATGACTGTAACTGGTACGCATTATCTAATTGCAATACCAACACTCCTGTCCATTATCTGAGTGCAAAACTGCTAGTATCTGGTCTCATATAGCCAATTGACACTAGGTAACTAAGGGAACTTGGTGTCACATAGCATCAATGAAATTCCACTAAGCTACTGAATGATCTCCTAGTCTCACATATCCATTAGGCAGATCATTGAGAGGGAACCCGGTGTCATATAACATCAGTACAATTCCCGCTCATCTAAAGCATTTGCTCGGTCTCTCAAAGCCGTCAAGCCAAGCTTTAAGGATTTCTATTGTATTGGACTGATGCAACTACACATGCATATATGAGGGCCCAAAGGCCACACAACACTAACAATGCCCTAATAGGGCAATTAAGGTAGCCTAACTACATACTAGTGTAGCTCGACACACTAAAGTGAGGTCAACCCCTCCCTAGCTGCTATCTCGCTCGTTCTCTCATCTAGAATGTTATATGAAGGTTTATTAGTATGTTATTCCTGATAATTTATTAAATGGTTCTATTATAGTCATTAGCACTTAAGGGTATTTTACTTATTTCTGTCTCTAAAGAGGTCTCTATGCGTTTCATGATTTTACGATAATGTTGATTCTTATGTTCACTTGTTGTATTATTTGATGGCTCGATACCTAACTCGAGTTCAATACTGTAACATCCCAAATTATGGATTAGTGACCAAATTTTAAAGTTTCAGAATTTGATGACTAAAGTAGAAGAATGAAATAGTTCAATGATTATTGGATATATATGATGAAGGTTATTTAGTAATTATTAAAGGAAATAAAGGGTAAAATGGTCATTTGATCATTTAAGGAAAAAAAATGGAATTATATACACGTGGAAAGGGAGAGAATTCTCCAGAATTCTCTTCTCCTTTCTTCTTCTTCTTCACGTGGAAGCCAAGAGCAAAGGTAAGTTTGATTTAGCTTTTGATTTCTTGAAAGTTTTAAGTTGGATTTGAGTCTTTGAGGGTTATATAAGCTTAAGGAAAGCTTATATAAGTTTAAAACACCAAAGAGATAGAATTAGAAAGGAATTTCTATTAAGGGTTTATAAATGAACTTTTGTTATAGAAAGGTTTTTGAAGTTCTAAAGTTGGATTTGACTTGCCATCAGCTTAATTAAAAAGTATTAAGTGTTAGAATTGGATTTGAAACATGTGGAAAATAGGGTATGATTCTTGAAATTCCTAAAGAGGAGAGGATATTAAGGTTAAAGATGAGATAAATGAATATTAATGAGTTTAATTATGTATATGAAAGTTAGGAATATGAAAGGGGTGGAAATATGAAGGATTTAATCCAAAAAGAAGGATTTTTCGGGTTTAAAAAGAGGTTCTGGGCAGAGTGCATCGATGCATATTCATAGTGCACCGATGCATCAATGTTAAAACCCAGAAATTGTTTGAAGGTGCATCGATGCATTGGTAGTGCATCGATGCACTCTTTTAAAATAAATACATCGAATTCAATTTGTGCATCGATGCATAAGTAGTGCATCGATGCATCCCATTAATAAGGAAACATCGAATGCAATTAGTGCATCGATGCATAAGGCATGCATCGATGCATCCCAGTAATAATACAACATCGAATACATTTTATGCACCGATGCATCAGTAGTGCATCGATGCATACCTTCATTAAAAGATGAAATTGACTTTTCTCTTGGTCTAAAGAGTGAACCATTAGAGTATATTAGTTATAATACTAATATAGATCTATGTATGATGATGTAGATGTAAAACGTGATCCCGTTCCGGATCAATTGAAGGATTATAATCGAATCAAAGAAAAGCTAAGGTGAGTGCACATTCTCTAGTATATGAGGTTCAAGGGAAAATAAGACTTGTGATAAGTCTATTTCCAATAGTGAAAAACATGAATTCATAGAAGTATGTATTTGTTATGATTTATATGTGTGCATGGGTATATGTGTTATTGATATGAATATGGCAAGTAAAAGGGATTAATGGTGATGATAAGAATAATAATAAGGATAATGAACTGATAGGTATATGTGAATATAGGTATTGATATGTTTTGTATGTATTGTAAGATGATATGTCTATGTGGTAACATGATAAGATGACAATGAGTTACATGTCATATGAACACATGAGAAATGTTATGAGCCATATGAAAGAGAAAGTAGATGTGATACATGAGGGTGAATCCTATGTGACATATGAATATGAATTCATATGAAAAGTGACATGAATTACATGAAAGAAACTACGTGATTACATGTATATGTGAATGAAACCATGAGCTTATATGAATATATGATATGGTTACATGAATATGTAAAAGGATATAAACGATAATGCCCATGTTATGTGTCATGAGAGCTAGGGGTATAGTTGGCATGCCAAGAGTCGAGGGTCTATGTGGTCCTTCGGGATATATATATATTCTTTGGAACATGTGTGAAGTCTGGTGAGACACATACTTGATCCCTAGTATATGTATATGATTCTTAAGGAGTGATATGTGGTCCTTCGGGATATATATGTATTCTTTGGAACATGTGTGAAGTCTGGTGAGACACATACTTGATCCCTAGTATATGTATATGATTCTTAAGGAGTGATATGTGGTCCTTCGGGACATTATTATATGGCACTACGGTGCAATTCTACGCGGCACTCCGGTGCAATTCTACGTGGCACTTCGGTGCAATTATATGAGCTGTGGTGACAGCATTAGTGCCCAACCTCTATGTACTCGCATATCTTTAGTTCTCACATGAGTATCATGGGCTATTAAATAGATAATATTAATAAAGTGATAGGATAATATGTTTGTTCCCTTGTAGAATTTCATGTGTGATATTGATTGTACAAATGGTAACTTATAAGACTATATGATGAAAGGAATCAATGATAGTGATAAAATAAGAAAGAAATGAAGATGATAATATAATTGATTGAGTGTACGTGTTTTATGATAATATATATATATGGTTTACATGACATGGTATGTGTATGTGCAATTGGTTATGGTATATGTTATATGATATGGACATAAGAGATCATAGGAACATGAGATAAGATATATGAATGATAAGGACATATATGTATGCATATATTCGTTACATGTAAAAGTATGAGTGGTATGAAATGATAGTAAGAATTGTTTAGGTATGATTATTAGTACCGTTTACCTTATAAGTTTTTATGCCTCACTAAGACTTCGACTTAGCGTGTGATTGTTTCACACGTAGGTTTCGAGAAGAGTAAAGAGTAATGCGGAGCAAGACAGGTCAGTTCTCCTTACCAAATGTCAGATCAGAAAATATATGTACTGGTTATAGAGTGTAGTTGGCATGTAGTCTAAAGATATAAATTGTATGAACTCTGATATATTTTGTAAACGTTTTGAATGAGTTAACTGTTATCAAAGTTTTTAAATTACTCACTATTTTATACGAATAAATGTTTGAAAAGTCAATGTGACACTTCGGACTCGTATCCGGGTCGGATATGGGTTGGGGGTGTTA